TTTCATATGGCTGTAGATAGCTTGATACAGACCCCAATCTCTTCATTCCTGCTGTATTGCAATAGCCTACCAGTTGGTCTGCCTGCTGTAAGTCTCTCCCCACTCCAATCCATTCTTCACTCAACTGTCAAAGTGAATTTCTTAAAATATAGGTCTGCCTATGTAACACCCCTTTCGATAAACTCCAATGGTTCCCTATCACCTCCATGATCAAATATAAAATTCTCTGTTTGGCATTTAAAGTGCTTATGCCGTAGCCTTTTCATGCATTTCCAGTCTTCTGATACCTTCTCCACACCTCGCCCCCCTCCAACCATGTACTGTCTGATCCAGTGACAATGGCTTCCTTGTTGTTCATTGAAGAAATTCCATTTCTTGACTACGGGCATTGTCATTGATTGAACCTACCATATAGAATACTCTCCCTGCTCACCTCTACCTCCTGGCTTTCCTAACTTCCTTTGAATCCCAGAATCCCAGCTAAAATCCCACATTCTACAAGAAGCTTTTCCTAGTCCCTCTTCATTCTACTGCCATTCTCTTTATTTCTAGTTCATCCTGTCTATATCTTGTTCATACATAGTTGTTTAAATAGTATCTCTCCCCCATTAGATTGTGAGCTCCTTGAAAGCAGGGACTGTTTGTTTTCTTTATATCACCAGGTCTTAGCACAGTCCCTGGCACATAGTAGGTGCTTAATAAACATTTAATGACAAGCTGACTGACTGAAGGGTAGCATCACTGGGAATATAACCACTGGCTTTCTATGATTTCTATGAGAGTAAATCGTACCTGATTATACTGCTACTAGCCCAACTTCACACATCCAATTGGTAGCAGAAATGAGACATAAATCCCAGACCGTTGATTCCCAGGCCAGTGATAGTCCCACTATTCCACATAGCCCTTCCACTTCTAGAGTCCCACTCTCCATATGCAGCACATTGGTTACTCTCCTATTCCTGAGCAGATAGTCAGTGATCAATTTAATTCCTCAAACAGTAACTAAATGCCTATTATACCCAAAGACCTTTGTTGAGTCCATAGAAAAAAGCTGAATAAAGGCTCTGTCCCTAAACTTCAGGTGCTTATAATTTAATGGTAGGGTAAATGGTAGGGCATACACATATGATACAAAGTAAAATGTGATAGAAACACCAAGGAAAATTCTATGGAGAAGGCAGAGCTTCAGGGAAGACTTCGGGGAAGGGAGAGGAAGGAGGGTATTAATATTCTAGGTGCAAAGCAATGAAAATTATTTCCTTCATCAACAAATATTTATTGATTGTGTCATCTCAATCTCTGCCACTCTACCAATGCTTATCTTATTCCTTTTACATTTCCTAGAAGAATTTGTAACTTGACCCCCTTGAAGTCAAAGAATGTCTTGTTTGTGTCTCTGCATTCCTAATGCCTAGCACAGTGCCTTTCACTTAGTAGGTACATAATAAAATCAAGATGACTTGAATTGACTACTTCAAGGATCCTTGGTCTCTTCATGTGGATGCTCCACTCACCCAAAGATTCACAACCCATCTGTGGCTTCAGAGATGGTCAGGAAGGGTTATTGTAACTCCTATTCTTCATACTATGGCCAACCTGGTGTTGAGACTTTTCACGCTTTCTTGGCTAGGCCCGTTCTCAGACAACAGACACACAGAGCCTGTACTTGAATCCTTCCCAGCATGATAGGACCTGCAGAGTTGTACTTTGCTGGTATAGCTTTTAAGAAACAAGAGTCACTTCCAAATCATGAGAAGACATCAGAGATGGAGTTTACTGGAGGCTCCTCACTGAATAGATAACAATAGGTTTACATTTATATAAGGCTTTGTTATTTCATTGAGATCTGGCAATAACTTTATGAAATAGGTAGCGCATTTATTGTTAGCCTCATTTTACAGATGTGAAAACAGGTTCGATGATTAAAGTTCACCCACATAGTCAGTTGACAGATCCAGATTTCTAACCCAGGTCTTTTTATTCTAGATACAAGGCTCTTTTCATTACTACTGATTCCCTGTGATTGAGATATGGTTAATTTCTCTAGGCCTCAGTTTCCTCATCTAACTACAAACTGAATGAGGGTACCCATGTCAAATCATATATTAATATTAACAAAGTTTAATTTACTTATTTTTAATTAAAAATATAAATAGAAATCCCAGTATTTTCTTCCTACATCTCAGTGAACTGTTTTGTTGCACTCTGCTGCCACAAACAATAAAATCTCATTTATTAAACAGATGAGGTCAATTTGAATTAGTAAAAAGTCCAAATTACAGAATATTTTGAAATAAATGCAGTTTTACTATTTTTAAATACTATCCACCATACCAACTCTGATTAACTGCTCATAAAATGTTTTATAGTAGATAACTTTAAGCAATAGAACATCAGCAATTAATATATAACAATTAGTATACAATGTGTTAAGGTCCTTAAAAAACCATTTATAATAGCTACCACTTTGAAGTTTGCAAAACATTTTTCAAATGTTATTTCATTTTACTCTCACAATAATGCTGGAGGTAGGTATTATTATCCCTACTTTATAGATCAGGAAGCTGAGGCAGGCAGAGGTGAAGTGACTTGCCCAAGGTCACATAGCTAGTAAATATCTGAGGTTGGATTTAAACTCCTGGTGTTCCAGAATCCAGGTTTACCACTTTATCCATGCACCGTCTAGCTGCCTGAAGAGATAAAATCATAGAGATGGAAGGGACCCCATAAACCACTGAGTCCAATTTCTTTATTTTACAGGTGAGCAAACTAAGTACCAGGAAGGTTAAATGCCTTGCCCTGGATCAAAGAGGTAAGAGAGTCCAGATTGAATCTGCATCTTTGGTCTCCAGAGCCAGTGCTCTTTCACAAGAATTAATTCCTCCACCAACATCACCTATGTTCCTTATTTGCCAAACAAACTTCAATTCTATTGGAATATATGTCATGTTCAACATCAACTCCAAACCTTTCCTCAAGTCTCTGTAGTCAGTCAGTCAAAAGTTAATATTAAATGCTTACTTAGTGTAGACTGGAGCATTGTTGCTCCACCTTCCCTCCAGTCCTCCATATCCTATTCATCCTTCAGAGCACAACTCATGGCTTATCTTTGTGATGCCTTCTGTGACTAGTCTAGCCATGGTAATCTCCCTTAATTCCCTTACCACTTCCTGCCTATACCACTGATTTAGCACTTCATGCCATGCTCATTGCCTTATAAGCCCAACTTAGTACGTGCTCCAACTAATATTAAGACAGCTAACATATCTGGGTGTGGAAAAGATGGGAACTGGAAAGCCAGACATGTAGAATTGTGCCAAGCTGAAACGTGAGATTGACTTGAGTACTTATAATTTACTCGTCACTATACAGGCAGAAGTTCTTAACCTTTGTGTCCTAGACTGCTTTGAGAGACTGGTAAAATCAATGGACTCTGCTAAATGTTTTAAAATGAATAAAATACAAAGGACTGCTGAGGAAATGATATTGAAATATGGTTATATTCAATGATATTGAAGTACAGTTATAAAAAAAGAAGTATATGTTCACAAACCCCAGGTTAAGAATCTCTGCTGCATAGAGTTAGAGAATCGAACTGTCATTTCACCAGCATAGGGAATTCCCTCTACCAATGCAGGTCAGCACCTTCTCTGCAACTTCATCTTTAGAGAGTTTCCAAGAGCAATGAAAGGGCAAATTACTTGCTTAGTGTGTTACACTGCCAGGATGTGTCAAAGACAGGCCTGGAGCCTGGGTTGTCCAGACTCTCTATCCTCTATGACACACTAGATAGACTCAAGGAACATTCAGATTTGAAAGGGACCTCTCTAATACTGACATAACATTATTGACTCTATTTTGCCTTTATCCACCATTTTGTGAACTCTCAAAATCACTTGAGTTTGGACAAGTCACAAGATTACCCTCCCCCCAAGAATCACTTGACTTAAAGAATGTCACAAAACTACCCCTTTTCCTTCTCTTCTCAGTGTCCTGTCTTCCAATCCCCTTCAGACCCTCATCCTCACCTCTTTGTCTCCAGAGCTACTCCTCCAACAAGAAACCAGATATCTCAGCCCTTTCATCCTGTTTTTCATTCCCTCCAGAACCAAAGTTCTGGGTTCTTGGCTGCAGAGAGCCCTGAAACACCGACAACTGGATGCAATGCTAAATAAATCATCTGTGTGGACGATACTTTGATTTTATTATTTAACTGTACAACCTCAGAAGGGCAGCTAGATGGTGGAGCGGATAGAGCACCTTCACCTACAGTGGGGAAGATACGAGTCAAATCCAGACGTACACTTACTAGCTGTGTGACCTTGGGCAAGTCACTTAATTCCTGTTTTCCTCAGTTTCCTCATCTCCAAAATGAGCTGAAGGACATAGCAAATACCCCAGAATCTCTGCCAAGAAAAACACCACGGACGAGTCCATAGCTTCAAAAAGGATAAACTGAACACCTCATAGGCCTCTTCTAGTTCAACCCCTCCCCCTCTCCAACCTGATGCAAAATCCCCCCAGGACGTGTCCCAGGAGGGGACCTCCAACGATGAGAAAGGTCACAACGTTTGGAAAACGGTTGTGAAGTTTTCCATAAACTGAGGCAAAAATCTGCCCATTTTGCTAGTTCTGTCCCCTGGTGCCCAGTAAGCAGGTCTGACAGCTCTCACACGCCCCCCCTCCTTTAAGTCCTTAGAGGGCGACGCTGGCCATCCCTCCCTCCTCGGGCCGCCCGCTGTCCCCTTCGCTCTGCCGGGTCCCCCTCTTCCTCTCCCAGCCCCACGCCCCTTCCTCCCGTCTCGGCCTCCAGCTTTCTGCACTTTTTTGTTTGCTTGTTTGTTTGAAGAGCCCGCTGCGCTCCGCGACGGCCTGGCACAAGGGACGTCGAGAACGGCAGGGAAGTTTCCTCGCCAGCCCCCACCCGGCTGAGGCGCGAGACACACGCACGCACGCGCACCCGCACGCACGCGCGCCCCCGTGGGGGCGGGGACCGGGGAGAACCTGTCTCTCTCGGGCCGCTTCCTCAGCGGTGTGTGCGGTGAGACGCCCTCTGACGTGTCCTTCCGCCCCCGCCCCCCGGCCCCGTCCTGGGAAAGAGAAGCGAGCGGAGCACTAGGAGCGGAAGGTGGCTCCGGGAAGTAGGGGGTGCGGCGTGACGGGACTGGACGCTGGAGCGGGGGGACATGTCGCTGTGGGGGCACACGCTGCAGGCCTCGCCGCCGGCGCCCTCCCCGGCGCCCCCCGCCCCCGCGTGCCCGTCCCCAGGGGCTGTCACCATTAACCGGCTGCGAGAGCCTGCGCTGCGGGGCCTCAGCGATGCCCTGGACCGAGCCGCGGAGGGCAGGGGCTGGAAGAAGCTGGCGGAGCTCGCGGGGAGCCGCGGGCGCTACAGGCTCAGGTGTCGGGGGCGGGGCCTGCGCGAATGAGGGGCTCGGGAGGGGTCCGAGAGGAAGGGGCTGGAGCGGGAAGGCTTAACTTTGGGGGACCGGACTGCGGGTGGAGAGAAAGAGAGCTGGAGGCCAGGGGCCCGGACTGGGAAATGTTGGGGGGCAGTGTCTGGCGCGAGGATGACGGTGGGACGGTAGAAAGGGGAAAGTGAGGGTGCTTTGAGTGTGTGGGGGACCCTCCCCCCTCCGATGGCGAAGAATGGAGTAAAGTGGAACCAGTTTGATTCAGTAAACATTCTGTGAAGAGTAAACTCTTCTATGCTAGGCACTGTGCTAAGTGCTGGGGATACAAAAAGAGGCAAAAGGCGGTGCCTGCCCTCAAGGGGCTTACAGTCTAATGGGAGAGAACTTGCAAACACACATACACACTAAGCTATAAGTAAGATAAGTAGGAAATAGCTGTTGGGGAAGGCTTCCTCTAAAAGGTGGGATTTTAGCGGGTACTTTAAGGAAGCCAAAGGAGGTCAGTAGTCGGAGCAGAGAAGGGAAGGACAGCCAGAGAAAATGCCGGGAGCCAAGGGAGCGGAGAAAGGGAAATACTGCAGCTGGTAAAGGGCAAGAAATGTTGGATTCACATAAAGTTAAAAGACATTGAGAGAAACAGATGATTTGGATAGAAAGGGAGGAGTGGTGAGAGAACCTGAAAAAGGGAAAAAAAGTAATCAAATCCGAAAAATGATTAGAAGGAAATAGTGTTTGTGGAGGGAGAAACATGATGAGGACTGGACTGGTATCATTGAGTCAATCAGTATTTATTTTTCCTACTCTTATGTGCCAGGCTCTGTTAAACGCTGAGGATGTGAGAAGAAAGGCAAAATAAGTCCCAGCTCTCAGGAAACTTGATCTAATTGGGGAGACCATGTGAAAGCGACTGTATATAGAGGACAAATAGGAGGTTCATTGACTATTTTTAAGCATCTTTTACGTGCAAGGCACTTTGCTAAGCAATTGGGAATGGAGAGGTAAATGAGACATTTTCTAATTTCAAAGAGTTTACAGTCTGGTAGATGAAATGGCACAAAAGTGCCAAAATACAGGGTCATAGATCTAGAGTTGTAAGTTTAGTCCAACATTCTCATTTTATAGATGAGATTCAGAGAGATAAAATGATTTGCCTGAGGTCACAGAGGTGATAAATAGGATAATCTGAGATCCAAACCTATGGCCTTGGACTCTAAGTCCACTGCACTTTTTAAAAATTTTCTTTTTTTCTTTTTAATTCTTATTTTCAATTCCAAATTATGCCCTCCTTCCAGCCCCTCTCCTACCCATTAAGAAGGCAAGAAATATGATACTCATTATACGGATGAAGTTATGCAAAACATTTCCACATTAGCCATGTTGTGGGGGGGGAAAAAAAGAAGCAAGAAAAAGAGAGAAAGTATGCTTCAATCTGTACTGAGAGTCTCTCAGTTCTCCATCTGTAGGTGGATAGTATTTTTCATCATGATCCTTTTGGAACTATCCTGGATCACTGTGTTGATCAGAGTATCTAAGACTTTAACGGTTGATGATCATTACAATATTACCAATACTATATACAGTGTTCTCCTAACTTCACTTTATATCAGTTCATATAAGTTTTCCCAGGTTTTTCTAAAACTGTCCTAGTCATCATTTCTTACAGTATTCTTAGAGCATTTCTTACAGCATTATTGTATTCCATCATGATTATATACCATAACTGTTCAGTCCTTTTCCAACAGATGGGCTTCCCCAGAACTTCTGTAAATATTTTTCTACATGTGGATGCTGACCTTTTTTCTTTGATCTCTCTGCATAGAGACCTAATAGCAGTATTATTGAATCAAAGGTTATGCAGTTTTATAGTCCTTCAGGCACAGTTCCAAATTGTTTATTACATAGGTCAGTTCACAACTCCACCAACAGTGCTTTGGTGTACTTATTTTCCCACACCCCTTAGCATTTGTCACTTTCCTTCATCATCTTAGCCAATCTGATGGGAGTGATGTGGTACCTTACAGTTGTTTTATTTTGAATTTCTATAATTATTAGTGATTTAGAGCATTTTTTCATATGACTTTTGATAGCTATGATTTCGTCTTCTGAAAACTTCCAGTGTACTTTCCATTGTACCATACTGTAATAAGACAGTATGTGAAAAGTGCCAAGGGTTGTGCAAACATAGGGCTATGGTAGTTCAGAGGAGATGGGATCAGTGAAATGTTCTTGGAAGACTTAAGGTGTGATGTGAAGGATGGCTAAGATTTTGACAGGCATAGATTGGGAGGGAGGCATTCTGCATAGAAGCAATGGAATGAAAAAAGAAAGATGGGTTCACAGGATCACATATTTAGAGCTGAAAGAGAATCAGACATCATCTAGTCTAGCTCCCTCATGTTACAGATGAGGAAACTGAGACCTGGGAATGTTAAGTAACTTGCCAGGATTATACAGGTTATACATAACAGGGCCTGAATTCAACCTCAGAGTCTCAGACTGCTGATTGAGAGCTTATTCCTGTACCATGTTTTTGAGGGGAATATTAAGTAGCGTGAGAGGCATGGCATAGTGGGTAAATTACTGGCCTTGGAGCTAGAAAGATCTGGGTTTATGTCTTATCTCTGATACCTCTCATCCTTTGTCCCATCTGCCTATCCAGCTACTACCTGTCTCAAAGTCACATTCAAGGCTCAAATTTCCATGAAGCCTTAAGATCATAGGGTCATAGAATTAGAGCTAGAAGAATCCTTCGAAGCATATGATGCAACCTTTTTGTTTTATAGACCAGAAGATCGTAAGTTAGTACTGGAAGAAACCTCAGAGATCATCTGGTCCAACCCTTGCACTTTATAGATGAGGAAACTGTAGCCTAGAGAGGTCAAGTCCAAGCCCAGGGTCATAGAGGTGTCATTGACCAAGGTGGAATTTGAACCTAGGACCTCAGGCTCTAAAATCAGAGCGCCTCCCCTCCCTCACCACGTAATCCCCACTTAATCTTCCTCTCTGAATTTCTGTAACACTTAATTACATACTGTTGCACTGGTTGCTTCTTTTCCCCCTGGGTACTGTGGGATTGTCTCAACAACTAGTTTATAATGTCCTGGAATGCAGGTACCATGTATTATTTTTCTCCGGTGTCTTTTATAGCACCTAAAGATTAGAAAAGGAACTTAAATGCTTTTTGATTATATCTTTCCCTCAATGTTATATTGAGCATCAACATAAGAGTCACAAAATTGCAGATTTAGAAGGGGCCTTGGAGGTCATCTAGTCCCACCCATGCCTTTTTTACAAAATCTGGAGTAGTCCAGCAATTATTGCTTCCAGTGAAATGGTCCATATGCAGACTCTGGAATGTCAGTTGACAAGCATTTATTTAGCAGCTGTGCTAGGTGCTGTGGATATAAAAAAAAAGCAATAAAAGGCCCTTCCCTCAGGGAGCTCACCTTATATTTGGAGAGATAACATATAAGTACTTAAATACATACCTGATAAGAGTGTCTCAAAAAATCTAGTGCCTTTTAAAACCTTAAAGTTTAAGCTGTTAAAGCTTTAGACAGCACTAAGATTTTTGGGACACCTTGTATAGCATAGGTGAGTAGTCTGAGAAAGGAAGGCACTAGCAGATGGAGGGACCAGGAAAAATCTTCTGCAAAAGGTGAGATTTGAGCTAAGTCTTAAAGAAACTCAGGGAAAGTATGGGAAAACAAGAAAAGTAATCAATCAACAAGCATCTGTTAAGAATTTACTATGTACCAGGCACTGTGTAAAGCACTGGGGATATAATGAAAGGCAAAATGATGGTGCCTGTCCTCAGTGGAGAAGAAAACATGCATAAAATTGAACTTAGAAAATATATATAGGCCATAGCAGTGTGTGGAGGAGGGGAGGACTAGGAAAGCACCCTGCAGAAAGTGGGATTTTGTGTCTTAATGGAAGCCAGGAGGGGAGACCTGAGGAGGGAGAGCATTGCAGGCATGGGGACAGCCATTGAAAAGGAACAGAGTTGGGAGATGGGAGTACTTTCTGTGAGGAACAGTAGGAAGGGCAGTACAGCTAGAATATAGATTATGAGGGGGAAAGTAAAGTGTAAGAAATTAGATAGTAAGAAGACAGAATTTGAAGAATTTTAAATGCCAAACAGAAGAGTTTAAATTTGATCCTGAAGGTAATAGGAGGTCACTGGAGCTCATTGAGTGGGGTGCCATTGTAGTTAGACCTACAGTTTAGAAAAATCAGTTTGGCAGTTGAGTGGAGGATGGACTGGAGTGATGAGAGATTTCAGTCAAGGAAACCAGTTAGGCTACTGGAGTGTGAATTAGAATTGTGGCTGTGTGAGTGGAGAGGATACATATATGAGAGGTGATATAAAGATATTTGGCAGCAAATTGAATATGTGAGAGTGAGGATGAGATTGAGATTTCTGGCTTGGGTGATGAAGATGGTGGTACCCTTAACAATAATAAGAAAGTTGAGAAGAGAGAGTTTGGGGGAAAGATAACAAATTCTGTTTTGAACATGATGAGTTTGAGATGCTTATGGAACTTCCAGTTTAAAATGTCTAAAAGGCAATTAGTGATGTAGGACAGGAGATGGAGTAGGAATGGATATTATAAATATGAGAATCATCTTCATGTAGATAGGTGAACCTGTGGGAGCTGATGAGATCACCAGGCAAGATAGTATAGAACAGAAAGAGAAGCAGACCTAGGACAGAGCCTTGGGAGACATCCAAGGTTAATGGGTGTGACATGGATGAAGAAACAGCAAAAGAGGCTGAGAGGTGATGGATCAGGTAGGAGAACCAAGACAGCAGTGTCACCAAAATCCAGAGGACAAAGAGTATCCAGGAGAAGGTAATCAAGTGTCAGATGCTTCAGAGGGGTTAAGAAGAATGAAGATTGAGAAAAGACTATTAGACTTGGCGATTAAGGTATCATTCGTAACTGGAGAGGGCAATTTTGGCTGTAAGAGATCAGAAGCCAGATTCAAGAAGAGAGATGAGAAGAAAGGAAGTGAAGGCACTGAACGTAGAGTTTAGCCAGAAATAAGAGGACAGATATAGGAGGATGGCTGGTGGGGATGGTAAGATGAAGTAAGTTTTTTAAAGATAGAGAAGACATGGGCATGTTTATAAGTATAAGGAAAAGAGCAGTAGACAGGGAGAGATTTAAGATAAGAGAGGAGGAAAGGGGGCAGTTTACTGGAGAATTTTTGTTTGCTTTGAAGCTTACATTTTATTTTATGTACTATAAGTGGATAATTTTATTAGGTTGCAAGCTTATTTTCTTTTTTAAAAAAATTTATTTTTTGTTTTCAACAACTTCCATAAGATTTTGAGTTCTAAATTTTCTTCCTCTCCCTCCTCTCCCCCTTTCACAAGATGGTGCGATCTGATATAGGCTATACATATACATTCATATTAAATACATTTTCACATTAGTTATGTTGTAGAGAAGAATTAGAACCAATGGGAGAAACCACAAGAAAGAAGAAGCGAAAGAAAAGAAAAAGAGCAAATAGTATGTTTCACTCTACATTCAGACTCCATAGTTCTTTTTCTGGTTGTGGATAGCATTTTCCATCTTGAGTCTTTTGGAGTTATCTTAGATCCTTGCATTACTAAGAAGAGCTAAGTTTATCAAAGTTAGTCATTGCACAATGTTGCTGTTACTATCTACCGTGTTCTGGTTCTGCTCACTTCACTCAGCCATAGTTCATATAAGTCTTTCTAGGTTTTCCTGAAGTCCGCCTACTCATTATTTCTTATGGAACAATAGTATTCTATTTCTTTCATATACCACAACATGTTCAGCCATTCCTCAGTTGATGGGCATCCCCTCAATTTCCAATTCTTGGCCACCACAAAAAAGAGCTGCTATACATATTTTTGTACATGTGGGTCCTCTTCCCATTTTTATGATCTCTTTGGGATACAGACCTAGAAGTGGTATTGCTGGGTCAAAGGGTATACACGGTTTTTTAGCCATTTGGGTGGAGTTACTGGAGAATTTTTGAAGGAATGGCACCCAGGGCACTTACAGAAGGGTTGGCCTTACCAGGTAGAAGTGCTGCCTCTTTATCAAGATACATAAAGGAGATAATGGGGGGAGATGTCTAAATGACATAAGGTGGTGTCTAAATGAGATAAGGTGGAGGGAAGAAGGCAGCCTTCTGAGGGAATAGTCAGTGAAGTATGAGGTGAGATCCTCAGTCACAAAAGGATGATGAAAAGGGTATGCCTTAGAAGTCTTGAGGAAGGACAAGAATGTTTGGTGTAACAGCCACTGTGGAGAAGGGGATAGCTAATAGATCAGAGAGCAATAGAATGTTTGCCTTGCTGATGTGGTAGAAAGAACACTGGATTTGAAATCAGAAAGGCTTGGTTTTGATTCCCATTTTTTACACATATTAGTTGGGTTTTCTCCCTGAGCTTTTGTTTCCTCAAGTGTAAAATGAGAATCATAATACTTATAGTGTGTGCCTGGTAATGGAGTTGCCCAGGGCCAAGAAAGAGTCTTATGGAAAGTGGAGTTTTTCTCTAAAGGTGTTAAACAGAAGGGTGTTCTGTAGTCACACGAGAGAGCTAAGAGCAGCTGGAAGGTATATAGAAATTTCTGTATTTGCTTTAGGACTCATTTCATAGCAAAGAGGAAGAAAAAGAAATGATATATTTGAGAAGTATGTAGGAGAAATAATAAGTATTTCTGGAACTTAGTATATTAACTTTCCACTAAAGACCTATACTGAAGTGATGAGTGCCATATAGTATAATGAAAGGAAAAGGAAATGATTAAGAGATGTTAAGGAGGCAGAATCAGTAAGACTGGAAAACTTATTTTATGGGGAAAGAGAGAGAAGGAAGATCAACGAGAATTTTGAGGTTATAAAACTTGGCAAACAGGAGTCTGGTTTCTTTTAACAGAAATAGAGAAGTTTTGGAGTAGGGGAAGGTAGGGGGGTTTTTTTGGGGGAGGGGTGAGGTCAAAGAGAAGGTGAAGATAATGACCAGGTATGCACATGTCAAATTTGAAGTAGCAGCAGCATATTCAGATGAAGATATTCAGCAGGGATTTGGAGATGCAGGACTGGAGAGACAGGACTATGGGGGAGCTGTATAAATTTGAGAATCATCTGTATAGAGATAACTAAACTCATGGAAGCAGATGAAATCACCAGTGAGAGAATGTAGAGATGAGAACTCTATATGGTCTTGGGGGAACATCCACATTTAAGAGTTAGGAGGTGAACTGTATTCCAACAAAGGAGATAGAGATGAAATCATTATACTGATGGGAAGAAAACCATGCGTTAGTTTTGGAAGACCCCAGGTTTCTTTGAGTACTAAAAGAAGAAAATTATGTGAGAGAATGAAATATAGAATTAAAGGGAAGTGTGTAAACAGCTGAATGGGAGTTCTGCCTGGCACAGGATGACAGGAGCTAGGAAGGGAAAGGGCTAACCTGGATAGAGATGAGAATTAGGGGAGACATCATAGGTAAAAAGGGCTTCTTCCTCAGCAGACTAGCGATACTGAGACAGAGGGGTTAAAGGAACAGGAGATGGGACAGTAATGACACCTAGAAATTCAGTGGTTAATCCCAGGAAGCATATGGCAGGAGTAGCCTTTTCTGTCATCTTCCCTTCACCACCATAGATGACCTCATGAGAATTGGGACTAGATTAGGACATAGGTGGCAGTGTTGGTAGCTGACAAAGCAGTGCTTCTTCACACTTCAGTGGTGGTGGCAGCCCTCCTTACCCTTATGGGTTGTGTGTAGCACAGTGTAGATATCAGTTGTGCAGAAGAGAGTGGAGATAGTGCCTTCCCACCAATGTGATGAAAAGGCCTGTAAGATATCTTGGTCAGTAAATACCAGATGATCAGATCACCCAAGGACAGATTAAATTTATATTTTTGCTTCTTGCTCCCTTGACAAAGTATGAGTCTCCTAGAAGTTACCACGCATGTGGAGTAAGCTCCTAAAAATGTTTTTATTTTCAGTTGTCTGGACTTAGAGCAATGTTCTCTTAAAGTGTTGGAACCAGAAGGAAGCCCTAGTCGATGTTTACTGAAGCTACTGGGTGAAAAAGGCTGCACGGTCACGGAATTGAGTGAGTTGCTTCAGGCCATGGAACATACTGAAGTTCTCCAACTTCTGGGTCCTCCAGGTTTGTTTTGTCTTTAAATTTATTCATTCATAGAGCCATGGGGACACTGGGATGTCAAAATAGTCTCATTTAAATAGCTGAATTATGTTGCTATGATAATAGTAAATATATCTAATCACTCCTTTTCTGTTATTTACGGAAATAACTGTAAAACAGCCTTCTTTTGAAGTCTTCAAATGAAATTGTGATTCAGTAGGCCAATGAAATTGAGAAATGTTTATGAATAGCCAAGTTTGGCCTCTAACTTTCTGAAGGATAGGTAATTATAAAATTGGTTTTAAAGTAGGAGATCACCAACAAAGTGATTTTTTGTTTGTTTTTCGTGGCAACTGGGGTTAAGTGACTTGCCCAAGGTAACATAGCTAGTTAGTGTCAGGTGTCTGAAACTGGATTTGAACTCAGGTCCTCTTGACTCCCGGGCTGGTGCTTTATCCACTGCACTACCTAGCTGCCCCCAAAGTGATACTTTTTAAACTTAGGGCAATATAAATATCTTCCCAAATTAATGAACATATCTCAAATGACTACTTGGGCTCAGAACGTTATGTTCTGGGGATACAAATGTGAAAATTGACACAATCTCTTCCCTTTAAAAGCATACGGTCTAGTACAAGGATAAAACATGTGGACAGATTAATACAAGTTAGAATGTGATAAATGCAGAGAAGAAGCTCAAAGGAGATGGATGAAAAGATTTGTAGAAGGGATAGATCACTTCTAGCTAAGGGCATCAGGAAGGACTAATGGTGGGGGCAGCCCCTGAGCTGAATCTTGAAAGGAGAAAAGGATTCACAAAAGCATCTGGGGATGGGGGAGGACAAGATGAGATTAGCTGAAACTTCTAGTTTGGGGAGGACCTTGAATGCCAGGCCAAGAGGTTTTTACTTAAATCCTTTAGTTATTGTGAAGCTACTGAAGGTTTTTTGAGCAAGAGATTATAGGATCATACCTGCACATTAAAAATACTGCTTTGGAAACTCATGATAGAAAATGCTTTCCACATCCAAGGAGAACTAAGAGACTCTGAGTGCAGATTGAAGCATTTAAAAAATTTTTTTCTTGCTTTTTTTTCCACATCATGGGTAATATTGAAATATTTTAAAACACCTCAAGTGTTTAATGGATATAATATTTCTTAGCTTTTTAATGTATGAGGGGTGTTGAATGGAGAGAGAATTTGGAAGGAAAAGTAGAATAATTTTTTTTCTTTTAAGAAAGAAATATTACTTTGACAGCCATGTGCAGGTTGGGGTAGAGAGGAGTGATACTAGAAACCAAGGAACTAGTTAGGAGGCTGTAGTTCAGGTAAGAGTTTATGTGAGTGGGAGTGGAAGGGATGAGGATTGGATGCAGAGACAAAGTAAACAGTACTTAGCAGTTGATTAGCTATGGAGAGGAGTGCTGGTAAGGGAGAAGAAAGTCAAAGATGACTCCAAGCATCTAAATCCACATGAGTGGGAGAGTGGACATAAAGAGATGAAAGGAACTTAAGAGAAGGGGGTAGGCCTAGGGGAAAAGTGCGTTTAGTTTAAATTTGATGTGATGGTAAGGCATACATACAATAGTGTCTAGTACAAAGTTGGGAATAGAGGACTAAAAAAAGCTACTGGATACAGAAATTAGTTTCACAGGCTTTGTACTTACTGATAGTGATTTATTTGATTGGGAAGATTTCTTGTTTTTCTCTTACTTGATCTCAATTTATGAAAATCTTCAGGTACCTTAAACTCCTGCACAGAGTCCTACTCCAATATTTCATCATGTCATGGAGATTACCCTGGGCTCTTGAATGCTGTGCCAGTTCTGACTAGTTCTACCATGTTGTAAAGGCCACAGATGATGTGTGCTTTCTGAGGACCAGCCTCTTATTAAGTATGGAGAGATTCATCACTACTATGCCAGCTGTTCTGTGATGGAAAATTTAACTTTGGCAACCCTATAAACAATTTGGGGGCATAGTTCCAAATTGCTTTCCAGAATGGCTCTACTAATTCACAGTTTTACCAATAGTACATCAGTATTTTTGTTTTCCCTTAGCCCTTCCAACATTGGTTATTTTCATTTTTTGTCAACTTTGCCAATCTGGTGAGAATGGAACCTCAGAGTTACTTTAAGCTTCTTTAATTGTTAGTTGTATGGAGCATTTTTATGTAACTGTTGATAGTTTGGGTTTCTTGCCTTGAGAACTACCTATTCATTTCCTTTGACCTCTTACCAATTGGGAAATAACTCCTCATAATTTTGAATCAGTTCTTGAGATATTTTAGAAATGGGGTTTTTAACAAAGAAAGTTGCTACAAAATTTTTTTTTCCCATTTAACCATTTCCCTTCTAATCTAAGTTCATTGGATTTGTCTGTATAAAACTATTTATATTTTATGTAACTAAACTTGTCCATTTTATCTAATGTGATCTTCTCTGTCCTTTTTTGGTCTTGAACTCTCCCCCATCTCTAAATCTCAAAGGTAACTTCTTCCTTGTTCCTCTTTTATTATGTGAGCTTTTATATCTAGATTATGTATCCATTTGGTGCTTATTTTGGCATATGGATTGAGGTGTGGTATAAAACTAGTGTCTGCCAGACCCCTGTCCTGTTTTCCCAGCAGTTTTTGTCAAAGAGAGTCTTGGCCTAGATGATCTCAAAGACTTCACATTAAAAAGAAAAGTCTTCCCATGGTTACTAAGCTAGGTTTGAGTTTTGAGTCATACGTCAATGTGGAACATTATGTATGAAATTCATGACCACATTTTATCCTTTAATTTTGAGAAGCAGGATGCTAACTCACTGCCACTCTGAAAAGCTCAGGTATCCCTCCTTTGAAAAGTCCTTTTTGCCCTTTAAGCTTTTTTCTGTAATGACAGAATTAGCATACTTTTTTTCACCATCCCTAAGACAGATTGTTCTGATAGCCCACAGTTTTTTCAGGGTTGCACCTAGGACACTCTCACGCAATTTGGGAGAAAGGCAAGAAACAAGGAAAAGTACTTTGTGCTTTACCAATTATGTATTGGTTTTGCATATTTAATTTTAAAGTAGTTATGTAGTATGTCTAGAATAAGAAAGATAAGGAAACATTTGTCATTTGAGTATCGTTAGGATGAGAAGAAATATTTTGTATTAAGCATGTTCCTCTCCTCCATTCTCCTTTTCATATCTATATTTATTTTGAAATGTGACAATAATTCTTAAATGATACTGAGTTTGTTTTTCTTGATACTTTTGCTATTTACTCTTAAGTGTCTATAAGTGTCTAGCAGCTGTACAAATGTTAAAGTTGTTCTTAGAAATTAAAGGGGGAATCCCTCCTCTGATTTATCTATGAATTAAGTATACTTAGAAACCAAAAAAAAAAAAACCCTCTAAACACAGTGAAGAGATATAAATAGGACTTGGAGATAGAAATAGATGTCCTTCATATTTGGTTTGTGTTTTATGAAGTCATAATGCCTTAATCACAATGGATAAATTATAACTAACAGCAGGAGAAGAAAATAATTAGATGTATGAGACACTGTTAATCTAAAGTCTTATGTATCTAAGAACGTTACAAGTTGAGAAACAGGAATTATAGGGTGCTGTTTTCGTCACTTTTATTTTAAACGAGAACATGGGGATAAATGTGCATATTGCTAGAACAAGTTTGTCTGTAGAGTTCGGTGAACTCTGAATTATCTGCATATAAACTACTTCGTCGCGACTTATCTTTGATGGTCTGCCTTTTTTTAGGTAGCAGATTTTCACATCATAAAATTTTTTTCCCTATTCAGTAAGAGCTATCCAAATGGACCGTGTCTAGTAGAGTTGAGCAGGGAAGAGATGAAGAGATTGGGTATGTTCAGAAAAGAGGAGGGAGAGAGGTGAATGTGGTTCAGTTATGACACAGAGTATTTTTCAGATTATTATTTATCAATTACTGCATTTCTTCATTGGATCTGCAATCCTCTTCTATTGCAATCCATCCTCAGCTTCTCTTTTATGTAGTTCTTATTTATGTTCACCCACAGATCTTCCACAGGACCTTTTTCTGAGTCTTTTTGCTTTTTTGTGAGTATCAGTGGAATGCCCAGTCATTGAGCAAGCATTTGGTAGGTGCGTGCTATATGTCAGGCAATATGGTAGATCCTGGGCATGCAAGTACAAAGAATGAAACAACCCCTACTCCCGAGGAGTTTACATTCTAATTGGGGAAATAGTAAGTATATATATCAGTAAATACGAAGTACTTAAATACAAGGGAGGGAGGGCACTAGCAATTGGTATCAGGATTGTGACGCAGAATATGGTGCTAGAATTGTGTTTTAAAAGAAGAGGGGAACTCAGTGAGGCGAGGTAAGGAGGAAGTGCATTTCAGGCAAGGGGAATGGCCAGTGCAAAGGCACAGATATGGGAAATGGAATATTATTTTTGAGGAACAAAAAAAGGCCAGTTTGGCTTTATGGGTTGGGAAGTAATGTCTAATGAGGCTGGAAAGATAGATTGGGGCCAGGCTTTGCAGGTCTTCAAAAGCTAAACAGATGAGTTTATATTTACTCCTCAATAGTATGCCACTAGAGTTATTTGAGGAGTCACATAGTTCTGAGATTAAGGGAAATCACTTTATCAGGAATGTTTAGGAGTGGTGAGAGACTAAACAGAGAGACAAATTAGGAATTGTGGTGCCTTTGGCAAAAATAGGAGTTTGTAAGAGGGAAAGGTTTAAGGGGAAAGATAATGAGTTCAGTTTTAGACATGTTGAGTTTGAGATGTCTCTGGGAAACCCATCTATTATCCATCAATCTCATTGCATGATAGAACCACCTACATTTTCTGGACATAGATTTCCTCAGTGAGATCCCTTAATTCCTTTTCTTGCTCTTAAGAAATTTGTTTTACCAGTTTTGTTGTGCCAATACAAAGATTGGCAATTATCATGTACCTCTCCATTGCCCTTTGGGTTATCCATAATTTTATTTCTTTGGAAACTGAGATGCTCTGAGATTTGTAACTATACAGTATCATT